GGTAGATACAGACCAGATTGGCAGGTGCACAGGTGCTCACACTGAACGGTGATGTGCAGGTGGTGCTCCGTCGACAGCAAAAGCAGGATAAAAACAATGGAAAGACAGGCTACACACCAAGATTTAAGGTAAAAAGTAAAAGGTCCTTTAATAAAAGAATGGACCAGCCATTAAATGAGTTGCCTACCGGCTCGGTGACTAATCGCACCTTCAACAGGGCAAATATCATGCCGGTAGGCAACTCATTTAATGGCTGGTCCATTCTTTTATTAAAGGACCTTTTACTTTTTACCTTAAATCTTGGTGTGTAGCCTGTCTTTCCATTGTTTTTATCCTGCTTTTGCTGTCGACGGAGCACCACCTGCACATCACCGTTCAGTGTGAGCACCTGTGCACCTGCCAATCTGGTCTGTATCTACCTCTAGTAATATATTTACTGAGAAAAATGTTGACGTGTTCAATACTTATTTTACCCGCTGTATGTATAAATGATGAAATATACAGTAAAATCAAACCCTTCTTCTGATTACTTTTATGAGGACACAAACCAGTAAGCTCAGACCAGTAATAAAGGCTTTTGTCTGTAGAATATTCCTCTTGTTTAACAAAAAGAGAATTTCTAGTTGATCTTCATTCAGATGAATAACTGCAGGTTGTGCCTGTTGTTCCCACTGAAAAGCTGAAAAAAATCCTTTGTCACAAAACACAGACAGTGTGTCTCAGTGGCATATTATGTGCATGAAAATACTGGTAATGCTTTGGGGAGCATCCAAATGGGGTTTTTTGTTGCCTGAGTGTCCAAAGCCAGGCCAGAGTCCTGTCAGTCAGCAGGGTAAACTCCAACACAAGCAGACGTGTAACCACATCAAATGTCAGGTGCACAGAGTCCATATGAAAAGAAAGTTTTTCACACATTGTAGGCTCAAAACCCAGTTGGGATATCACTGTGTACCCTTGAGCGAGCTACTTTACCAGAGTAAATATTTGGTCAGCTGTGCAAATGGGTGTTGTGTAAAAGCTGCTGAAGTGAACTGGCGGAGCAGGGATGGAGTCAAAGCCAGAAAAGAAAATGTCTCCACTTGTGAAAAACACATGGCTGATTCAATTCCCTATTAAAACAGAGAGGAAGAAAATAAAATAAAACGTAACGTATATTGAATTATTAAATCAAATGTGGCACAAAACCCTTTTTTTCCCCTCTCTCTCTCTCACACAAACACATCAGTTTACATCCAACCTTTAATGTTTAACCAAGTCTGAACCCTCAAACCGCCCTCTGGTCAAACCAAAAGTGCGAACTGGCCAAAATGTCATCAGTCTTTTCAGGTCTGAAATTCAAACTAGTACACACACACACACACACACACACACACACACACACAGAGTCAACATCACACACACA